CAAATGCTAAATAAATCATGACGCTGGTATATTTCTTAAGTATATGAGCGATAATTTGAGTGTCTCACTATATGTTCGGTTTCCTGCATTCATAAGTATAGCAATGTTGTCAATATTACGTAATCACAGAAATACATGAATCACTGAAATTTGTTTGGTACGAGATCCTGATCAGATATAAAATAAAAAAATATTGAATACAGGTTCACTTAGCCGATGCTTAATTGATGAAATCTGTATATTTGAATGTCACAAGAAGAATGAAAAACAACCATGTTTCCAATCAAAAATTTTCCTTTGCACTTGAGAGATACATGGATAAGTAAATAGATTTACTTATCAAACAGAGATATCACAGTTTTTAATCATCAGTCAAGGATTTTGTACGGAAGGTCTGTTCGTTTAGATATAATACTGATATAAAAATTCCTAAACTTGTGATAGTCAAGTTGACAATATCTAGCGTAAGTGCATGATTTTCGATTAGAAAAGCAAATTAGTTAATGACCTTACATATCTGCACATCAAAGTAAGTGAAACTGTATTTTATCACAAAATACAAGATACATTTACAAATGATATAGGAGCTGTGCAGAGAATGCCAGTATGTTAAGCAACTGATCTCCGACATACGTCACACAAAATCATGTTTTTATTGATTCTAAACTATCTTGCCCATTATTTTCGTTTACTTTGGTTCTGTTCTGTGTTTTCACGATATTTTGATACCATCACGTTTATTACTTCCGTTTTACTTTTCTGTTTTTGTAATGGTGTGATAGTCGTGTATACAAGTAACCAATTGCATATCAATTCTTAACCATGTATTGTCCAATCTAAACAAGTTATGAACATTTGGTTACTTGAAATATCACTTTAAATTTTTAATGAAGTAACATTGATGAAAACACATTATACCCCTGTTTCATAGAACATTTACGTACAATTTCATGAGCATATGAAATATCGTTGCTCTTATCAGTTACTTTCGATAAAGCTTCACTGTAGCCCTGAGCCTAGCACATAAAACTGTACTTGTACCTGTTTTTGTTTTGGTATTTAATGAAGTACAGTTTTATAGAAAGGAAGTGAAACTACACCTACTGTGTAAAAGACAAACAATACTACGTAAATGTTCATACGGGTTAATATAAATTAATGTTCTAACTCAACTAAATGGTTGAAATTCATTTTTAAACCGTTCAGTTGATACTCATGCTATTACTAATTTGAATAAGAAATAAGCTGATTTATCTAACCTATCTGTGAGATGTCATAATTAAAATAATCTTTCATGTTTTTATCTTTTACAAGACTTCTGTAAATAAACCATGTAACGTATTAGTCAATTTACGATTTCAAGATAACGTTTTTGCCGAAGCCAAGTGTATCGCAGTAAATCCATTAAAGTCTGAGTTGGTTGCTATCGGTGGGAATGAACCGATAGGTAGTAAAGTAGTCGAACGCGTCGACAACTTCACTTATCTTGGAAGTCTGATCAGCCCTAATGGATTGGTGTCTGACGAAATCCCAGCACGGATTCAAAAAGCTCGTTTGGCTTTCGCCAACTTACGTCACTTATGGCGAAGACGAGATATCCGTCTATCAATTAAAGGACGAGTATACTGCGCATCAGTTCTCTCTGTTCTACTTTACGGCTGTGAAACATGGCCATTAAGAGTAGAAGATACTCGTAGGTTACTAGTATTTGACCACAGATGCCCTAGAAATATTGCTCGCATCTGCTGGGATAACCGGGTAAGTAATAGTGAGGTTAGACGCAGGCTATTAGGGAACGATGGTAAATCAGTTGATGAGGTGATGAATCTTCATCGACTGAGATGGTTGGGCCATGTGTTACGTATGCCTGAACACAGATTACCACGACGCGCTATGATGACTAGTATTGGGGATTGTTGGAAAAGAGTTATGGGCGGCCAAACCAAAACATGGCATCAGTGTATGAAGTCACTAACTTCTAGTCTGAGCCATGTTGGCAGATGCAGACTACCTGGTTGGGGTAGCGAAAGCAAGAGAGATGGAAAAGGCAGTGGCAATAGGTAACAGTAGGCAGCTATTCAGACTCGTTAAAGAAACCGGTATTAGGAACCCAACTATTATCGAAACTATCTCAGACAAAGACGGGCATATCATTCATTCTCAATCCAGGAGATTGGATCGATGGGCAGAACACTTTAGGGATCAGTTCAACTGGCCTTCAGCCACACTTCAGTTACCCACAATCCCCAATCGTTCTGGATGGCAAATTGAGGTAAGTCCTCCAACTCTCTACGAAATTGAAAAAGCTATAGGAAATCTGAAGCGAGGGAGAGCAGCAGGCCCTGACAGGTTTACGCCTGAGATTTTTAAGGATGGTGGTCCAGTACTAGCAACGAGATTGACTGAGGTCTTAGGTAGAATCTGGGAACTGGACGTAATTTCATCTGACTGGTCCCAATCACTGATTGTGCCAGTCTATAAGAAAGGACAAAAGTCCTCTTGTGACAATCACAGAGGGATCAGTTTGACTACTATAGTGTCTAAAATATTAGCTTCAATAATACTAGGTCGCCTAACCAAAGCTCGTGAAGAGCAGACTAGAGAAAACCAGGCTGTTTTTCGACCTGGACGTGGTTGAATAGACCAGATATTCACCCTACGTCAGGTCCTAGAACATAGACACAAATTCAGACGTCCCACAATAGTAGTATATCTTGACCTTAAGGCGGCATTTGTTTCCGTTGATCGTGAGGTTCTATGGCAGTGTTTGTCAGTGAAAGGAGTATCAAAGAAGTACATTGACCTCATAAAGGCTTTCTACTCGAACACAACTGGTCGAGTTAGAGCTTATGGCGAACTGTCATCAGAATTGGTTACCTCAAGTGGTGTTTGTCAGGGCTGTCCACTCTCTCCATTCCCGTTTAACTTTGTCGTCGACATGCTTTTGGAGATAACACTTTCATCATCTCAATCTCCAGGAGTTGAACTTTTACCGGGAGGCTCACTTATTGACTTAGAATACGCCGACGACATAGTTCTATTTGGTGAAGACGCTGACAAAATGCAGAGTCTTCTGACCACTATAAGCAACAATGCAGGCATGTTCGGGATGCGATTCTCTCCCTCGAAATGCAAAATGTTACTTCAGGATTGGGTTGCAGCGACACCTGAACGAATGATAGGGAGTGAAGTAGTTGAGCGTGTTGTTAGCTTCACTTATCTTGGGAGTCTCATCAGCCCTTGTGGTCTGGTATGTGACGAAATCTCAGCACGGATAGAGAAGGCTGGTCTAGCTTTCGTCAACTTGCGTCATTTATGGCGTAGGCGAGATATCCGTCTAGCAACCAAAGGACGGGTTTACTGTGCAGCAGTTCGCTCCGTCCTACTTTATGGCAGTGAAACATGGCCGATAAGAGTCGAGGATATTCGTAGGCTACTAGTGTTCGATCATAGGTGTCTTCGACGCATTGCTCGTATATCCTGGGACCACCGGGTAAGTAATGCAGTTGTTAGGAAACGAGTACTAGGTAAGGATGGCAAATCAATTGATGAAGTAGTGAAACTTCATCAGTTGAGATGGCTGGGACATGTGTTACGTATGCCCGACCACCAACTGCCCCGACGTGCAATGTTTCATGGTGTAGGAGTAGGTTGGAAGAAAGCTAGAGGCGGTCAGACCAGAACGTGGCACAAATCAATGAAGTCACTGACAACTGGACTGGGCCATGTTGGTAGGTGTAGACTACCTGGTTGGGATTCGCGAGATGACAGCAACCGATGGTTAGAGACCTTGAATGACATGGCTCAAAATCGTTTGCAATGGCGAAGATGCATCCACTCTTTGTGTTCTACCAAATTCTAATCTTCTGAATTCCTCATGTCTTTATCTTTTTCTCTTTCCAAATTTATTTCACTGTACTATACTCCTTCAATAATTTCTTCAAACCCTAATCTTTCCGATTACTGTTTATACTCCTACTACTTCTACCACTATGGGATTTGAATCGACAACTGCATCTCTGTGCTAATGTGGTATGGCAACTCGAACTGATGTACGTACGTACGAAGTTCTAAGTTGTGACTGACTGACCTGGTTGGGGTCCGCGTGACTATCGTAACCAATGGTTGGAGACTCTAGTTGACATGGCTCAGAATCGATCACAATGGCGTAGGTGTATACACTCTTTATCTTCCCTTAAACCTTGAGACTAAAATTGCTTCATATCTCTCTTCCTTCCTGTACTATATTCTTATATACAACCTTTCTTTTATATACTACCACCACTAAATTAACTACTTCTATGAATCCGGTGTTCATCTTGTTGTGCTAACGAGGTATGGCAACTTGGACCGATGCATATATGTGTCTGGTCCTACGTTGTAGCTGACTGACTGACTGTTTGGTACGAGGATACCTGCTGGTTCGTCCGAATCTCTAACTGACAAAATAAAATCTCTTGCCTAGTGTCATTCAGTGAAACCTATTCAACAAACTGGTCATTCGTCACGCTCCATATACGTATTCTCTCAACTAGTAGTTTATGGGAAATGACTAGGATTGTAAATCAGTATAAGTAAATAAATAAAGATTAAGTAAATTATCATTCACAACAGCTAATGACAGCCAATCTAATACAACTACGAAATAATTCTGGTTGCTACTTATCCTAATGTAATATATGAATTTTAGAATCTTAATGGTATGCACAGGTTAGTCATAAGCGTAAGGTATATTGATCCAATCTGCTTGGTTTAAACGTTGATATGAAGCATTCATTGTTCAATTGCACAATTCTCAGGAGTAAAATAGGTTGATTACTCAGATTGGTCAGAAATCCAAGTACCTTTTGTTATCCGGTAACATTACTTTTGTCGGTTTATGACAACTAAAAAAGCTAATTGTATTAAACTGTTTTCTGTAATATATTTGAATTATGTAGTTTTGATATCGTCATTTATAGCTATACTACATTTACATTGGTTTTCGATTTGCTTTTTAGACTAATGAAAACCCTAAACCTGTTGGCTCGACTGATGCAATGCTTTGCTGCGTAAAAACCAGTTATTTGTTTCGAAATAGCCGTGTACCATCTTCTAAAATACATGAAAAAGAGATTATTTCAGCCTTAAAAGATCGTGACTTCTCTGCATTAGCAGAAGTGACTATGCGTGAAAGTAACCAACTTCACGCTTTATGCCTTGATACCTGGCCACCTTGTATTTACCTTAATGAATTAAGCCATTCCATAATGGATTTTGTTCACAGCATAAACAATTACTTTATGAAAAATGTGGTGAGATATTTCTTTAAAATTCATTTGTTATTTAAATGGCTTGAAAATTTAATCGTAGTGAGGATTTTAATTATCATAACATATAAAATGAGAGCAGTAGACCACTCAAACAACTCGCCCTACAAATGAAGTGGTAATGTTGTGAAGAAAAAGAAGAGTGGAGCGTACCCTTTTTAAAATAAGTATCCAAGAATGGTATTTAGTAACAAATACAGTCCAGTTAAAGATATTGTCAGGAAAGATTTTCAGTTAAGAGAGCTCATCTCTATTTCAATAAGAATGTTGTAAAGTAATACAGTAAGATATTTAATGGCTTCCGTTTCAAGCCGTGTTTGATAACGTCCCAAGCCACTAATTTACACCACCTCTAAGACCTCAACCAAGTATGGGGAGACAATCGAGCTCCATAATTAAGGGGCTATATCATGAACTTACCATCTCCACCTCAACTAAATTCCAACTTCGGCAAGTAGTGAACAGTGTGGGGGCTGTAAAATGGCATTCGTAAAATATGTTGAAGGCACCGAGGTCACTGTTTTAAGATAATAACACGTATTACGGTATCGTCACTTCCCAAACACTATCGGGCTGCAGTAACGAACACTCATTACTAAATGATAAAGTGCTATTTGTGTAGCTTGTACATCGTCCCAAAGTAAAATAATGTCCCTCATCTACTCAAGATCATAGTCTACCTACCATTGAGATATGCACACTATCGTAACCAATGGTTCGAAACTCTGGGTGACATGGCTCAGAATCGATCACAATCGCGTAGGTATATATACTCTTTATCTTCCCTTAAGCCGTGAGACTAAAATTGCTTTATATATTTTTTTCTACGAACTAATTTTTCCTTCCTGTATTATAACCGTATATGCAATCTTTGTTTTTATACACTACTACCATTGAATTAACCACTTCTATGAATTTGTTGTTCGTCTTGTTGTGCTAATGAGGTATGACAACTTTGACCGATGCATGTATGTTCTTGGTCCTACGTTGTAGCTGACTGACACGCCAACAGATGCAAATAACGACAACTAGTGAAGCAGCAGCGTCTGTATCAGTAGGCTTCAACATACATAAAGGAGAAAGCAAGATCCTCAAATACAACACGGCGTTTATCAACAGAATCACATTTGATGAGGAAGCTCTGGAAGAGATGGTAAGTCCCGTGTACCTGGGTAGCCTCATCGATAAACGAGGATCTGATGCACACAGGAAGGTAGGGGTTGACAAAACAAGGGCAGCATTCCTACAGTTGAAGAACACATGGAACTCAAAACAATTGTCAACCAATAGCAAAGTCAGAACCTTCAATACGAACGTCAAGACAGTTTCACTATACGGAGCTGAGATTTGGAGAACTAAAACCATCACCAGAAAAGTATAAATGTTTATAAATAGTTGTCTACTCAAGATACTCAATATTCGTTGACCAGATACGACCAGCAACAGTCTACTGTGGAAGAGAACAAGTCAACTTCCATCTGAGTAAGAAATCGGAAAAAGACGTTGGAAGTAGATAGAACATACATTGTGAAAATCATCAAACTGCATTACTAAGCAAGCGCCAACTTGGAATCCTGGCGGGAAAAAAATTGAGGATGGCCAAACCACACACTGTGTCTGGAATCGGAAACAGACATGGAAAGAATTGCTTAGTACAGAGTTGGATGGAAAATGCTAGTGAGCGGCCTATGTTCCGCTATGAGGGGTAACAAGCGTAGGTTGTTAATATTTATTTCTAGGTGATTTGAATCTTATGCAAACTTTACACAACTTCTTTAATTATCACAGAGTCTGTTTTATGTTTCCGGACTTCAATTAATTACTGCCTCATCCTTCTAAAATTTTGAATTCTATGTAACCCAGTCGTTAAACCATGGAACTCTTAGTTTCAGGGTCGTGGGTTCGGGCACCATGTCGTGTGTCGTCCGGTGAGGCGGCACGATGTGTCTGCTAGTTGCCGGTTCTGCCTGCAAATGCCCTAGTACGATCGAGGTGGGAGAGAGTCCGCTTTCTCTTTCGAAATGCTCTCACGTGGCCACGCGTATGCAACCGCTGTAAGGGAAGTCTTACTCATTGACTTCTCTTGGCGGGGGTGTTGTTCACGAAAGTGAGAGGACAAAAAGCGAATGGCCGGCGCTTTAACCGTGTTGGTAGATATGGAGAATCCACCTATGGAAGTAGGAAAGTCCTGAATTCTAACCAATGGTGCACATGGGCTCCAGAATCCTGGAGGAACAAATGGCGTATGAACCGATTGTTGATCACCAGCTACCGTAGGACCGTATCTCCTTACGTTGCTCCACTGCCTTGTGGATAACACCTCTAAGTAAAGAATCGGGGAGTACGACACGAAGGAAACCACCTGATTCGGTCTGGTCACCCGGGTAATATCACAGCCCACAAACAAGTCAAATGAAATAACAATTATGTGTGTGGAGCATATGTAGTTGATGCTTCATTGTACTAATATTCATGTGTACAAATAAATAAATAATGTCCCATCTGTTCTTATATATATAATCGATAATCTTTGTTGTCCTGATTCCGATATCAGTGTCAATTGTTTCTCATCATATCGTGCCTCGATGTTACACTTTGATGCATATACGATTCTAAACGGCCTATGGGAAATCACGAAACATTTTTAATTCATATTATTCTGTCTCAACTTTTGTTTTTCCACTATTTGTCGACTCTGGGACTGGTTGGAAAAAGCGGAGAGGTTCAGTTTATGACATGATGTCGTGGTATCAAAAAAGGCTGTTCAATGCTGGCTTCTGTTTGTCCTTCCTGACTCCCTGGCTGGGGTCCTAGGGATGGTGCAACACAATGTCTGGAGACGTGATCAGATATGACTCAGTAGAAGCCAGTGGCGATCCTGCTGAAACCCTTTTCTACTTTCTCCATAGAAAATTGACGTAACATCCTTAACTGAAAGAATTATTCTGGTTGTACATTTCTGTTTCCCCCAATATTATTCTTATTGTACTAAAATTCATTAATTTGTGATTGTTATTCTTCTTTTTTTCCCATACTCACCTAACATTCTTTATTTCTCTCCATTCTCATTGTTTTGTGCGGCACATATATATGTGGTGCTTCCTTGTACCAATATTTATGTGTTCAAATAAATAAATAAACTATCATTTCATAGATCTTCTATCAGTTTGATTTTCGATTATTTTTACTATTTGAGTTACGCTGAAACGACTTTGCTAACATTTTTTTGGTTCAGTGTTAATATCCATTAAGCATATCTGTTGTTTTTGGAAGATCATGGTGAGCTGCTTCTGCATAAAAACTTTAAATTAGATTAAGTTCTCACTCAAGTTGTTCCTTCAATAAACCGGTGGTATTTTCATTTTATGGTTAATAATGAATATTTTTTACCATGTATAGGTTGCATACACGTTCGACGCTGGTCCAAATGCCTTTTTACTGACTGAATCACAAAACATTTCTGTTGTATTGAAATATCTTGTCGAATGTTTTGGTTATACTGTGGAAGCCGATAGCTTCGTTAATGATGCGGATAAAATTACCATCAAATGTATGAATTCAAATAAGTATTTAAAAATCACTGGGATTACGTACGATTTGTCAGATGAACCGTTAGATCAGGTAATTCTTCCAGGTACATTTTGTAGAGTATAATACTTCTCACAGTTCTTTATGGGAATCATTTTTATTTGTCTTTTGAAAATACTCTATTTGATATACCTTTTTCTTATCCAGGCACCTTAAGTATTTATTTCTTACTCAAATGATTGTTGTGTAGTACTCAAATAGTAACTTTGGTCTCCATAGAAAGATTCGAGATTCGAAGTGATTATAACCTGTTAATAATGTGTACCTTCTGCTGCAAGGTTTTACACGCTTATTGTAGTGTTTGTCTTTAATATAACTCATTAATCAAGTATTGGTTTGTGTAAATTAGGTTTCCAGCTAGACTTGTGATGCAATGTCTAATGACATAGTCTGGGTGTTCATACCAATGTAGACGTAGTGATGTTTAAACCAACCGAGTCATAGATTACCACGGACTGTCAATAGGATCGTCAACCTCAAGTAGTGTACGTGAGGGTTGTCCAATATCACTCTTTCTATTTGATTTCGCGGACCAGACCTCATCTTACATTTCGGGGATTGATCTTCTTCATTGAAACCTATTAATCCACATGGCATGTTCAGTTAACATTTTCCTATCTAGTAGAGAGCGACCATAATACGAAGTTACCTGAATGTCTTAAATGACGATACAAAGATGATTGGGATCTATTCCTTTCATGCGACTGTACAATATTACTTCGTAACCGATCTTGTCCATCTAGGTTGATCTCATGGCATGAGGTTATTGAATACGTTTACTGTTGGCGTGATTTGGTTAAGTAGGTTGAAATTGGAGAGCCTTCAAATTGAAACATGACATTAATTCATGACATAATTAGCTGATGGCCTGGGAGGTGTTGGTAGGTGCATGCCACTTGGTTTGAGGTCCGCGTGATAATCACGATCGCTGAACATTGGGTGACATGGTTTAACAGCAGTCAGAATGACCTATATGCGTTCACTCTTTATCTTTCTTTAGATCTTGAGTTTTAGAATTCCTTCATTTATATCTTCTCATCTCATATTCTCGCACAACTTTCTCAGTGTTTAGTCTTTCTCATTATCAATGGTACTGCGTGATTTCGTCATCGTTATTTTTCTCGTTAGTTTCTTTTTACCTTGTTCATTTAGTTTGGTAACTTGAGCTAATACATATTTGTACTAGGTTTATCTGCGATTGTGACTAATTGACTAAATCTATAAATTAGTGTCTGCAATTCGATTGCTTCGGCCAATAAGTTATCTTATCGACGCTAGTATATATATCAGGGATAGTCTTTTAATTCTTTTAATCATATTTGTAATGTCTGACAATTTGTTACGTGTTTCATTGTTATTCTAACTAGAGTTCTATATTTTTAACAAGGACGTCTGTAATTCCTATATCCATACTAACAATCATTTATTTTTCTTAAAATTATTTGTTTTTACCAACCTGTTATAAAGGATGAGAACTTGAGGCAAAATCTGTCACCCCTGGTGTCACTTAGTACTACCCATTCCGTCAAAAGATGTAGTTCTTATTTGACGAACGAAGTTATTGAAGAATTTAACAATTTTAGTTGTTATACAGATATATTGTTGTTATAAGTTTGAGTGATATGTATTTGGGTCATGAGTGACTTTTGCAAGTTATTGGACATTTCTTGGGAAATCGTCATGCATGTGTCCTGCCCATCCACTTAGAAATGTCCTTGGTTCACTTTCCGGCCTTTTTCTTATAAGCTTATCCATCGTTTAATTATCGAGTTTTGAAGTTTTATCCCTTTTCAATTTACCAATATATGACCAACTTTTTAGTATTACTAGCTCGCAAGTAATGTAATTCATTCTGTCAGGAAACACTGGTACTTTTGCTATAAATGCTTGACTGTCTACACTGGTTGAATGATAATATTGTAGGTGCTTAGCGATATAAGATAAATGCAATCTAACTTCCCAACTATTACCGGGCTTTTATACTTGACCGAAAATGGTACTATAAAATTGTCCTAACTTTGATATGTCAGACATATAACTGAATGTCTGAAAGAGTCTTCCAACCAATGATCCACACTATCGTTATGTCATTTTCGTGTTTTTCGAAACCTTTCCCGGATAAATATGTACTGTAGTGTACACATCTTTTACCACCATATTTGTTGTGTACGTACACATTATGCCACAATTTTTTTTAAAACTTTTGCTTGAGCACTAATAAACTTTGTATTTCAATAATGTCTCGAAATTTTTTTGTTACTGTGCTCATTTCACAGAGAGATGTATCACTATGGCCTGAGTAATCACTTTCGAAAAACACAACAAAATATAAGAAAATATACTCATTCATATACATGATTAGTTAGTAATATTAAGAAAGAAAATATTCGTACTTAGTTACTACAGAAAATATGTCATACAGAATTGATAAAAATGAATTTGACTAAAGTATGTGTCACACTAATGAATCCGTGTTATCGTTTATGGAACAGTATGTTGTGTTTGGCATTAAAACCCATGTAGCTCTTCTAAGGTTACTGCCGGTCTCAATCCGGTGTAATGAGGGATGGTTGGATACGGCTTCAGCAGCCTCACTGCTTAGAAAACGACCTTACCGAAAAAACACTAACCATAAAAGATTTCAACCATTTGAACTCTTCTGAAAAATGAAGAGTTATGATAACCCGTGGTGAAAGCCGAGATTCTTTGGAAGTCACGATATCAATGCCCCTTCTACCAACCATACCAATAATCGATATAGGCACATACAATGTCTGGACAATGTGGGAGACCGGTAGGACCAGTCAAATAGCTATATATATGAAGAGACACAACTTGGCGGTGCTCGGAATCAGTGAAACCCATTGAACCCAAGATGGACAGAAAATACTACGTACTAGGTACCTTTATACTCTGGTCAGGAGTGAGGAAATACTTCACACACTCAGGGAGTTGCTCTGATGCTGTTTTTAAAGAAGCACGAAATGCACTTATTGTGTAGAAATTTCATGGACCCAGGATCATCAAATCGTCTTTCAAAACAAGGGAGGGGATTACAATGAATATTATCCAGTGTTATGCACCCAACAATGATAGCAATGACGACAATAAAGATCACTACTACAAAAGGCTGCAATCGACCATAGCGAAGTTCTCAGGAAAAGAAGTGACCATGCTGGTGAGAGACCTGAATTCCAAAGTCGGAATGGACAACACCGTCGATGAAGATATCATGTGACGACATGGAGTAAAAGAAAGGAACGAGAGACTTACATTCTGTGTTTTCAACAGCCTGGCTATAAAAGACCTAGCTTTAGATCACCACCTGGTTGCGGCTAGGATGAAAGTGAAGTTAAAGAAACACTGGAAAACTGGGGAAACCGCTGTGCAAAGGTTAAATACAGCCTTCCTTCCAGATACTAACAAGCTCAACGAATTCAAGATAACTCTCAAAAGCAGGTTCGAAGCCTTACAGAATCTACTTAAAGAAGAAGAAAATACAATGGAGAACAACTGAAAAAGGATCAAAGGAGCATTAACTTCAACGAGTCAGGAGGTTCTGGGCCCCAAAAACAATCATCATGAGGAGTGGGTCTCTGTCGAAGCCCTGGACAAGATTCAAGAAAGGAAGAACGAGAAGGCAGAAATGAACAACAGCGGAATAACAACAGAGAATGTCAATGTAAAGCTGAATACACTACAGCAAAAAAAGCAAGTGACGATGAGCATCAGAAATACGCAGAAAAGCTAGCAACGACGGTGGAAAAAGCTGTAAGAGAAGGAAACATGAAACAACTATATGACACGACGAAGAAATTAGCAGGGAAATATGGTAAATCAGAGAGACCAGTCAAGGACAAAGAGGGCAAGTCAATCTCTGAGACTCAAGAACCGGAGCACAAATGGGTAGAATACTTTGAGGAACCCTTGAATAGACCAGCTCCATTGAATTCACCGGACATTTGAACTGCAGACATAGGCCTTCCTATAGCTGTCACCCAACCAACGACAGAAGTAATCAGGATGACCATCAGATAAAACAAGTGTGTAAAGGCGGTATGAACTGACAATATACCAGCCGAAGCACTGAAATCAGACAGAAATAACTATAAACATGCTCCACGCTCTATACAGGAAGATTTAGGAAAAAGAACAAGTGCTGACAGACAGGGAGGAATGACAACTCATCAAGATACTGAAGAAAGGAGATCTAAACAAATGTGAAAACCACAAAGGCATCACACTACGATCGGTAGCAGGAAAAGTTCTCAACAGCGTGTTCTGAACCGGATGAAAGACTCGGTAGACGCGCAACTTCGAGATCAACAGATCGGATTCCGTAAGATTCAGTCGTGTACAAACCATATCGCGACACTACCTATCATCGTTGAACAATCAATTGAACAGAACTTGCCACTACACATCAACTTTATTTATTGTGAGAAAGCGTTTGACAATGTGGATGGGGGAACGTTATACAACCTTCTTCGGCATTATGGAGTACCTGAGAAGATCGTCAACATCATACGGAATTCATACAACGGACTACATTGCAAAGTAGTGGATGGAGGACAGTTGGCAGATACATTCCAAGTGAATGCCAGAGTCAGACGAGTCTGTTTACTTTCACCCTTTCTCTTTCTTCCTGTGGTTGACTGGATTGTGAAGAACTCCATATCTGAGGGAAAGCACGGAATAAAATAGACAGGTTGAATTCAAATAGTCGATTTGAAATTTGCAGATGATCTACCTCTTCTATCCTAAACACCCCAACAAACGCAGGTCAAGACAAACAGTGTAGCAACAGCTTATGTATCAGTAATCTTCAACATACATAAAGGAGAAAGCAAGATCCTCAAATACAACACGGCGTTTATCAACAGGATCACATTTGATGAGGAAGCTCTGGAAGAGATGGTAAGTCCCGTGTACCTGGGTAGCCTCATCGATAAACGAGGATCTGATGCACACAGGAAGGTAGGGGTTGACAAAACAAGGGCAGCATTCCTACAGTTGAAGAACACATGGAACTCAAAACAATTGTCAACCAATAGCAAAGTCAGAACCTTCAATACGAACGTCAAGACAGTTTCACTATACGGAGCTGAGATTTGGAGAACTAAAACCATCACCAGAAAAGTATAAATGTTTATAAATAGTTGTCTACTCAAGATACTCAATATTCGTTGACCAGATACGACCAGCAACAGTCTACTGTGGAAGAGAACAAGTCAACTTCCATCTGAGTAAGAAATCGGAAAAAGACGTTGGAAGTAGATAGAACATACATTGTGAAAATCATCAAACTGCATTACTAAGCAAGCCCTAAGTTGGATCGCAGGCGTAAGTAATTTTGGCATAACTTATTAATGCACATTTAATCAAAGAATATATATGGTTTTTTCGAATTTTGTCCAATTACTGCTTAGAAACATTTCATTTCATTACTGAATGTCAAAACAAACTGTTTGATATTAATTTTCACCTTTAAACGGCTACATTTGAAATGACGTTTTCAACCGACGAGAATTCTAAGATCATTTTCTCGTTAAACTTAAATGCTCAGGATGGGGTTTTGTGGAGATTGCAGTAATTTATGAGTTGAATTCATGAGTTCGGCCACCATTGGTAACTTGGCAGCACTTAATTTCTGTTTTTTCCTAGTTCGGATCTCCTCGGCGCTGCTCTTTCAGTACCTTTTATGCAGACTCGAGCCCATGACCTTCGGTTTTGCGCACGATCACCTTATATTGAGACCACTGAGTCTGCATTGAACAGTGCTAATTTACATTCTCAATCGATCTATAATCTTTCGCAAGCATTCATCCATTGTCTGAGGTAGATACCTGTCTTCACTGGAAACGGATTCGACTCCACTGGTCACGGCCTCAACTAACGAATTCAACCGTTAAACTAAATTCATCAGTAGTGAAGATAATCTTACTCTTATCATCAGTGAGGATTTACTGTAAAAAGTTTAGATTGTAATACTGTGTGCTGAACTGGGTTTTACTTGTCAATCATTCCTTAGTAGATTTCTATAGTAGTAATGCTGCTCTTTGCATTTTTTCGCTGGTAGCGATTAATTGTCGAATTCGATCATACATTCGATTATACAACCAATAAAATAGATCTGTATGATTTATCATTCTAATGACGGAATACCGTAATATTTGTTACTTATCCATTTAAGTTGTCTCTACACTGATTGCTACGTTTTGTTACCTATCTGCTTCTAGTAGTTCTCCATCCTTTTGTTATATCGTTAGTGTACTGTGAAACACAATATATTTTGCTTAAAATATGATATTCTTCATCCAAGTTTACCTCACCCATACATTTCGTTTAAATTTCTTCTCATGTTTCATCACAGAATCTCCTAAAATTATTGCCCTCTATATCTGGCGGTATCAGACACTTAATCAGCACTGAAGTAAGTAACTAGGTTATTCATTAAATATAATCTTACGGCTCATGTTTAAGCTTATTTTTCTACTATATACTAGAGGATGTTTCTGATTATTTTAGCTAAGTATTATTATTATTATTATTTTAATGAGGTATATGTTTGTTGTAGTCTGTCATGTTTACGTTATTACAGTTTACACTGAACTACTTAAATAATCAAATAGCCCTCAACGACATCGATAGCGTATATTTAAATCATTCAATTAAAGCATAGAATTTAATTTTACCGTTTTAAAATGTAGTTCATTTTACCACTCAGAATCAACTCGAAATAGTATGAAACATTATAAATAAATAATATATTTGTAATATCGCAATGAGTAGAAAATCTAATTTTTCTACTCATTGGAATATTACAAACTCACAGCTGTTCTTTCTTAAGATACCTTATAGTGATTCCGATTCATGAACCACTGGAAGATGTCTTTTTATACAAGTTGGATCTACTCATTCTAGGGAGCTTCACAACTAGTCTTCACCATACTTTATCAATAATACCTCCCATGCGATTGAGGGGAAAGGACGGGAATTCGGGAAAAGCTTGATATTTCAAGAAGTCAGAATTGTAATACAATAAGCGCAACCCTGATTTATCTAGTAAAAACAACACTATTGTCTAGATTTAACCAATCAGACGTTATCGACGACTAATAGTGTAATATGCATTTAAAAAATGTGCAGAAGTTGGTGTTTATCAGGACTGCAAGTTTCTAACAAAGTAAAAACCAAATGATTTGTGACCTTCGTTAAAACAAAAGTCAATTCTGGTCATCCGATCACTAAAGTTAATGCTTAGTTCTGACCGAATAGCCTTATGATCCCATTAAACAAGAAGAATGTCTTTCTCAATGTTTTGCGATTTCATGAAAGCCAGGTTTACTGAGAAATGCATATTCTGTTTATCTTACTACATATTCAGACTGTAGTTTTCTGCTCTATGTATAAAGCAGGTTCAATACATGTTATGCAAACTTTAATTTTGATGCTCACTGGAGTTTGTTTCCATCTTTATGTTTAGGTTGGCAGTGGTCCACAGCTTATATCATTCATTCATTGAAGATACTCGAATCATATGAAAAACGTACATATGGTAACACCCGGTTAATATGTGGGCGAGAATGATAATGATTGGTTGTCTGCCTAGTCAGACATAGATAGTCTGACAGGTGTCAGATGAATTATATATTCTCCTATCCTTCGTATTTATTGTAATTGATTGTTCATTGTTATTGGATTGTGTCGGGATTTGGAGTGGGAATCTATTTACCCTCTGGTGAGGCTAATCACGTGTTCACAACATGGCTTGCGTTGAAGCCCTGTAGAGTAGACTCTGGGAGGGAATCTAGTGTAGATATTCGTCTAAGGTAAATTAACGTCTCATTCTGACCATTGTAACACTGGTCAACTATTTTTTGCAAAATCATCGTACATCAATAGCTGTTGAAAGATCTACTCTAAAGCCATCTTACTGTTTATCTTGATATTGCTGAGTATTTTTCATACTGCCATATTGATTATTGATCACGTATAGTATGTTTGATTCCTTTTTTGAAAGCAACTAAATGAAGTTTGGCTAACCGAACGTTTTTCAGACTAAGCAAATCAAGGAAGTTGTTTCAGAATAGTGATCTAAATGTATCTGCAAAAGGACTAACAATTTTTGTAGTAAAACTATTGTTAAGAACATGGCTTCAAAAATGATCATCTATTACCTCGTACAATGTCAACAACCTGTCTCATTTATCCTTTCTCGTAAAAGAACTTGGTGTAATTTAATAATTAAGAATTCATTCGTCATATCCCGATTGAGTAGAAATCTGAATTTGTTACGTCCCGTTAGTTTGTGTATTTCACGTATTAACAGCCGATATAGAACTTAACGCAAGTTTTAAACAATATAAAGGAAGCAGAACTAAATATTTTTACTATAATCAAATGAGATCTGAACTGGTAAATCTCATATCATTTTTGTCGGAATGATTCTATGTAAGAAATTACTGTGTATATCAGTAGGGATGAAAAAATGTGAATTTTGTTCTATGAATTAGTACAAATTTAGTTTTCGTTCGTGTGTGTCTGTTAATTGTTTGAGTAAGTAACAATTAAATGTATTTGTTTGAATAAACAGTCCAAACTGGATTTATAGCGAGACCTTGTTCTATATCTGATGCAAAGGGAATTTACCATTATATAAAACGTTTCAGCTGCTTGCTTTTATTATGTCCGGAAAAGCCTTTTCGATATCAATTCAGTGGTTTTCGAAAATATCATGTACCGTAAATTTTCCAGCTCTACATGATTATTTGGTCTTTTCGTGCAACTTAAGTATTATTCGGGACGGGTCGAGATTTCACAGGAAGACTTCAATTTATAACGGCTCACAGTCGAAACAGCCTAATATCTAGATACAATTCTATGCAGATATAAATTGGATCTTTTCTTTTATTCGAATTGAAGCATTTTGAAGAGTTCTTAGACACATAGAAACCTATAGTTATGTACATTTCAGGGTGTGTTTTAATTATTCTGTCGGACGGTGGAGGTGAGGTAAAACATTATACCAATCCAATAAATTTCACTCAAATAGTTATATGAAGACATGCTTCTAGTAATGATCATATGAAGTTTGGTAAATCGTAAGATATCTGTTAGTTTATTCGTCAGATTATCTTCTGAGGTAACGATCTTAGTAGCTCCTCTGAATAGATTCAGAGCTAGGGGAATTTTCGCTCTGAATGGATGTTCAGAGTTGAAAACGATATATCATTTTGAATAAGTCCGTTTTCGGCGTTTGGTTAAATTTAGATTTTGATTAGAACTTGTTTTAACTAGATAGTAAGAATGGCAAATCGCCATATTCATCTTCGTTTTCGAAAGTGAGTTGGGTGTCATCTGAGAGTATTTATCAATTTAGCGAAATTTCTAAAGAAAGTTTTAAGTGATGACTGACATGTCATAAACTAATTTGCTATAATGCAATTTGTATGAACTGATGATTTCTTTGTACTTGACGACTGCTAGATTTCGAATTCGTGCTTATAAATTTTGTACTGTTACATTTTTGTACTTACTTCTGAAGTCATGTTGCTGGACTGTTACAGCAGAAGGTTTTACTCTCAATCCATTTGGACCGTTTTTTTAAAGCAACAATTAAGTTGTATATACTTGAGTTAGTGGAACCAATTTGACTGATGCCACCTCTCCACCACATTGTTCAGTTTGGAAAGTCTTCCATAACAGAGGACAAGTCCTAATATCTTACATCATAAAAAGTGTTATTCTTCCTACTATTGCTCACCTTGTTATTTATACTTCCTAGAACAGTTACCTACTTACGTCTGTTATCCATCGTGGAGGAGCACAGGCCGCACACCTGCATTTTCCATCCAAACCTGTCTCGAGCAATCTATCCCAGTTAACATTCATTATTTTCATATCTGCTTCCATTTCCTGGTGAAATGTGTTCTTTGGCCTCCCAGCTTTCCGCTTTCTTTCGCTATTCCAAGTAATTGTTTGCCTCGTGTTGCGGATTGGTGATTTCCGTAATGCATGTCCGGTCCACCTCAAACGTCTTTCCCTAATTTCCTCTTCAGGTGTAAGCTGGTTTTTCCTCTCATAAAACGCTGTTGCTGATAGTATCCGGCCAGTGAATGTTGAGTATTTTGCGTAAACAACTGTTTATAAATACTTGTACGTTCTTGACGATGGATGTAGTAGTTCCCCACGTTCCAACTCCATACAGTAGGATTGTCTTGACGTTCGTATTAAAGATTTTCACTTTGAAGTTATTTTGAGTTCCAGATGTTCTTCAATTGTAGAAATGCTGCCCTTGCTTTGCCTATTCTTGCCTTTATATCTGCATCAGATCCTCCTTGTTCATTGGTAATGCTTCCCAAGTACGTGAAAGTTTCCATCTCTTCCAGAGTTTGCCATCAAGTGTGATTGGGTTGGTGTTCTTCGTGTTGGATTTACGAATCTTGCTTTTTCCTTTGTGAATGTGGTGGCCTATCGACGCAGAGGCTGCTGCTACATTTGCTGTCTTCATCTGTATTTGTTCGTGTGTATGAGAGAGGAGGGCTAGGTCATCTGCGAAGTCCAAATCATATAATTGATTCTGAGAAGTCCATTGTAATCCGTATTTCCCCTCAGACGTCGAAGTCTTCATAATCCAGTCAATCACCAGAAGGTAGAGAGGGGGAACTTTTAATGTCCGAACATTGTGCCGAATAGGACAACAGGCTTCCTTAGCTAGGACTCTAGAATCTTACACCATCGATGTGTGCTGCGTCTCCTGAACGCGCATACAAGATCATAGTAGCGTCATTCATTTGACCTCACTATATCAAAGTGAAGAACTTTCTCGATACACCCTTCGTGTATCTGGAAGCCCTGATTCTGCTTCCCGTGGCCTCGCTGGCGTAGGTATAGCATTGATTCCTAGAGCAGAACTAGCTCTTTTAGACTGGATCTCAGTAGACAGTCGTTTGTGCCTTGTCCGACTAAACGGAACAGTAAAGACTCGGAATGATAGGGACATTCGTTGTTGCCTCTTCGTCGTCTCTGCCTACTTTCCACTGACTGCAGTCAGACGATATAAAAGATGAGTTCTACAGGAAACTTTCTGACCTTCTCCGAGAAGCTAGGCGTTCTGATGTAGTAATAGTAGCAGGTGACTTCAATGCTCAAGTAGGTGAACTAAGTGAAAGGGAAAGACACCTGGGTGGATCTTATGGTGTCGTGGCTAAAAGAACAGATAATCGCGACCGTCTGTTGCAGTTATGCTCAGATAACCACATATTTCTTGCAAATACTAATTTTAAGCATGAGGAAAAACATCTTTTGACATGGCGACCCCCGAATTCTTCCCAACGTTGGACCCAATTAGATCACATCGCTATCAGCCACCGATGGAGTAGGTCGATAGAAGACTGGATGTTTAGACTCAGATCATGCTGTGGTGCGAGCACGTATCTGTTTGCATCTTACTGGACGTAGGAAAGACACTGCAGGGACGCCTCTAAAGGTTCTACTTAATGATAGGCAAGCTAAGAATATATTTCAGGAACAACTGGAAAAACAGTAGGTATCATTACCAAGTCTTGATTTGATAATTTTGAATAAATTGAGCATTGGGTAGATTGTTATAAATAAATAATATATTTGTAATATCCCAATGAGTAGAAAAATTAGATTTTCTGACGTTTCGTGACTCAGTGTAAGCCACTTCTTCAGAGAATAAATAACCAAATTAACATTAATCCAAGTTTAAATAGTACGACGGAACAATCCAAGAATATTAGGTGATCAATCAAAAACAGGTCTGAATAAATCACTGTCACGTCATTTTATTTCGGTCAAGGTGATTCATAAGCGACATGTATGTAATTTTGTGTGTATGTATGCACTGTTAATAATGAAAACTGTGTGACCTTTATAACAAATATTATTATTATTACAAATATATTATTTATTTATAACTGGAAAAACAGTTAGACAGACATGTCCCAGAACATAGACATACATTCAGACGTCCAACAATAGTAGTATTTCTCGACCTTAAGGCGGCATTTGACTCCATTGATCGTGAGCTTCTATGGCAGTGTTTGTCACTGAAGGAGTACCAAAGAAGTACGTTAACCTCATAAAGGCTTTCTACTCGAACACAACTGGTCGAGTTAGTGCCTAAGGCGAACTGTCATCAGAATTGATTACCTCAAGTGGTGTTTGTCAGGGCTTTCCACTCTCCCCATTCTTGTTTAACTTTGTCGTTGACGTGCTTTTACAGATAACACTTTCATCATCTCAATCTCCTGGAGTTGAACTTTTACCGGGAGGCTCACTTATTGACTTAGAATACGCCGACGACATAGTTTTGTTCGGTGAAGACGCTGACAAAATGCAGAGTCTTCTGACCACTATAAGCAACAATGCAGGCATGTTCGGGATGCGATTCTCTCCCTCGAAATGCAAAATGTTACTTCAGGATTGGGTTGCAGCGACACCTGAACTAATGATAGGGAGTGAAGTAGTTGAGCGTGTTGTTAGCTTCACTTATCT